TTCCCTCCTTCTTTCCCCCTTCTTTCTTTCCCTCCTTCCTTCTTTCTTTCCCTCCTTCCTTCTTTCTTCTTCTTTTTTTTTCCCTTCTTCTATACATCTCTCTTTCTTCTGTTTCCCTCCTTCCTTTCCCTTTCTTTCCCTCCTTTTTTTTCTTTCTTTCCCTTCTTCCTTTCCCTCTTTCCCTTCTTTATTTCCCTCTTTCCTTTCCTTCCCCTTTTCCCTCCTTCCTCTCTTTCTTTCCCTTTTTCCCTCTTTCACTCCTTCCTTTCTTTACCTCTTTCCCTCCTTCCTTTCTTTACCTCTTTCCATCCTTCCTTACTACAAACAAATGTTAAAAAAATAATAAAATATAAAATTGGAAAAAAATTAACTAAAAATAAAAACCTACTGACACTAGTGGTGGAACTACCTGGGTCAGAAATGGTTGCTCTTACAACCGGGCCCTGACGTTCTGCCACCGGGCTCCGAGGAAAGGGTCCTGGGGCTTTGGGCTGCTCAGTCATAAATGTCCGGGCCTATTTTTTCACCCAGTCTGGGCTTGAGTATAACCTATTAACCTGTGTGCAGGCAGAGAGTCTATATGTTGTTGAAAAATAGTGATCAGTAAACTTAATTAAAATAAACCCATATAAGGTGTCACTACACCTAAAATCCAATTAAAGTCAATTTACAATCCAAAGAAATTTTTCTTGCAGGTGATTTCACAATCATTGATATCCCCGAATACGATTGATGGTATAATCCAGAGAATCTTCATATACCTCAAAAACAAAAAATTCTAAACATAGTGTATTATCCCAGGTATTATAGTATAGTGCCACACGTGTCACATGCAGACAAATTAAAGTGCCACAGCAATCGTGAAATATCAGAACTCCAACAACTCGATTACTAAATCCACTGCACACAATATAAGAAGTGCATAATTACCCTAGCATAGATAAAATCAGCATAGGATCCATAATATAGATGAGATAGCCTCCAAGCTTTAGTCTACCATCTTCTCCAAACACTTCCCATAGACCTCATGGATAAACCAGGGATCAGTATATATATTATATAACCAATAAATTTTATTGTAGCAACTTACATTAAAATTTGGTGAGAACAGCTTCCATATAATGAAATGAACAACATGCCATGATTCCTCAGCGATAGTTATATGGTCAAATCCATACCACTCTGAAGGAGAGCTGGAAGGCAGATGGAAGTTTCCAGGGTGAGAACAGCAGCGTGTCCCGGAACCCAAAAAATGGCCACCACAAAACTTCCGGGAAAAAAACGTCAATACGTCACCACATCACGTGCCCCGGACGCGTTTCGTCACATCCGGACTTTTTCAACAGGGATTAGAGAGTCTATATGGTTACTTCATGTACTGAGCAACCATACCTCATTGATCTGTCCGCCAATGCAAAAATGCCATCTAGTGTTCAATATAGAGATGACCACCTAAATGCACTAATCATTTTGTAATCATCATCAAAAATCCCTCCTCCCACACTATATTCCTCCATTCTTACCAAAATTCTAAATATAAGACCTAAAAATAGAATGCAATGAAAACCTACTTAAAATAACCCTCAGAGCCCCCAATTAAACCCCTTATTATAATCTATTGGGGTAATACATATTTCCCTTTACTGACTTAATAGGTTTTTGGCCTCTAAGTCTCCCCATTAACATTTTTTTTCTTCACTTCTATGCCCTTTATTATGAGCTTACCTGTAGGTAAAATACAAAAAAAAAAAAAAAAAAACGAGTTTACTACAACTATAACCGCTAAAGGACTGCCCTATAGCAGATATACTGCTACAGGGCAGCACCTGTGCACAGAATCATATATATACGTGATTTTGCATTTCTGGGTAGGGGGCGTGCGCGCGCCACGTGCGCGCCCTACCCATGACGTCATTTGCGGCCACGGATGTCAATCACTGGGTCCCGAGTGGTAATTACCTGCTGGCACACCAAGGCTGGCTGGTTACCAAGCATCTCCGATGGGGAGGAAGATTGTTTTGTTTACAAACAATCTTCCTCCCTGTCAGCTCGAGCACACTGCTCGGGATAGCTGTGCACAGTACAGCCATCCCGATCAGTGTGCTTACAGTGAAGAACACCCCCCCATCCCCTAGTAAAACACTCCCAGCACACAGTTAGCCCTTTGATCGCCCCTCACATTAGCCCCTTCCTGCACAGTGCCATTAGTACAATGTCAGTGCTGTTTTTTTTAGCACTGATCACTGTATTGGTGTCACTGGGGTGTCAATGACACCAAGTTAGTCCCCCCCTCCAGTGTCAGAATGTCCTCCGTAGTCTCGCAGGCCCGCTAAAAGTCGCTGATCGCCTCCATTACTAGTAGAAGAAAAAATCCCATTATCTATGCTGCCATTTGTAAACGCTATAACTTTTACGTAAACCAATTAATTTACACATATTGGGATTTTTTCTAGCAAAGACATGTCAGAATACATTTTGGTCTAAATTTATGATGAAATTTGATTTTTTACATTTTTTTACTGGATATGTTTAATAGCAAAAAGTCTAAAATATTGTTTTTTTCTCAAAATTGTCAGTTATTTTTTGCTTATAGAGAAAAAATAAAAAACATACAGGCGATCAAATACCACCAAAAGAAAGCTCAATTCGTGGGAAAAAAAGGACACAAATTTCATTTGGGTGCAGTGCTGCATAATTGTCAGTTGATTGTCAACAGATCAAGAAACTGACAGACTCCATTAATGGAAGGCTTATGACTGTTATTGAATGGAAGAGTGGCTATATTGGTCACTGATTTTTTTTTAAATGTCAGAAATATTTATTTGTAAATTTTGAGTTGTTTATTATTCTCGTTTAACAGATGAAAATAAACAAGTGAGATAGGAAAATTTTATTTTTCATTTAGTTGCATAATAAATCTGCACACTAATAGTTGCCCAATAATTCTGCACTCATAGATATTCTCCTAAGAAAGCCAAGAACTCACTTTTACTTTCTAAAAAATAAAATAAAAAAATACAACTTGCCTAATAATTGTGCACATAGTGTATTCCTGATATGTGCTTGCTTTACCATGTACTTGTATGAAAAAGTATCCTGTTCTCTTTGTATTGCTTCCTTTGTGTGAAATCCCTGTATTCCTGCCAGTCCCTCTGCTTTTCTAAGCAGGAGAGCACAGCGTGGTCAGTTCTCTAGCTATGATGGGAACTCAGTGTGCTCTCCTCCAATTATTAGACTTTCTGATATGCCTCCATGCACAGCCTTTCACTGGGAAGCGTGCTTCTGTTTCTCCTCCCCTAGTTTTTATGCAGCTGAGAACAGAGGGAATGTGATCATTTATAAAAAAAAGGGGGAAAAAGGCATTTATGTTTTTTTTTATATCTATACAAAAATGTTTTGCCTTTCATTTCTATTTTAAACTAAATGGGTTGTTTTACAAGTTGAGGGTTTACATCTACTTTAAAGCAGAACTGAACCCACTGATTTAAGTTTAAAAAAATTGTTAAATTCCTGGCACCTGCTGAGAATGTAACTGTCACATTTGCTTGTTCTCTCAACCAAACTGTCAAACCATCAAATGTCTTGTGTCATAAATGGTCACATGTGCAGCAACATGGCAGTTGGAGATCAGAAGCTAAGACGTAGCTTCTTGGCTAAAAATGATTGTAGGATTTAGTTCCATTTTAAATCACACATGTTCCCACACCTGCACCCAAAACATGCTATTCTTTTGCAGATGTGCAGGGGAGCCCATGATTCCTAATGGCACGCCCATGCACTGGATAATACAGCACTTTTTTGGATGTGTGAAACTGCATATTGCAGTAACACCATGCAGTTCCATAAGTTTTAACCACTTTACAACCACGCTATAGTCAAATGATGGCTACAGCGCGGTTGTCCAGTTCTGGGAGGGCATTATATGATGTCCTCCCAGAACGAGCCCCCGGAGGTGTCTGTGATCGCTCTATCCTAAGGACACAGCTGATCACATGACAAGGTAAAAGGCCAATCACAGCGGCCTTTTACCACGTGATCAGCTGTGTCCAATGACACAGCTGATCACAAAGTAAATACAGTTGCCGGTTATCGGCAGCGTGAAGAAAGTACTGCTGATAACTGGCAAGTGTCACAGAGGACATCTGCACTGATAATCAGGGCGCTGATTATCAGTGCAGCCTCAAAAGTGCCCATCATTGCCAGCCATCAGTGCTACCAGTCAGTGCCCATCAGTGCCGCCTTTCAGTGCTGCATATCAGGGTTTCCTCATCAATTCCCACCAGTACCACCTCGTCAATGCAGGCTATCAGTGCCAGCCATCAGTGACACGTCAGTGCCGCCTATCAGTGCCTTCTCATCAATTCTACCAGTGCCGCCTCGTCAGTGCAGGCTATCAGTGCCCATCAGTTCTGCCTATCAGTGCATCCTCATCAACACACATCAGTGAAGGAGAAAATTTTATAATAAACTTTTTTTTTCTATATTTTGCTTTTTTGTTTATAGTGTACAAAATAGCCCAGTATCGATTAAATACCATCAAAAGAAAGCTTTGTGTAATAAACGCTGGGTACAGTGTTCCATAACTACACAACTGTCAAAGTCCAACTGAAAGCGCTGAAAATTGGCCTGGGCAGGAAGGGGGTATAAGTGCCCAGTAGGCAAGTGGTTAAATAAAGGACCAGGGACTTTCACAAGCCGCACAGATGTGAACCTAACATGGCGTGTTCACAATATTTTGGATCTCTGATCTCACACTTGCAATCGTATACAAATAAAGGTTTACTACCCCTAACTGTAGATAGTTTACAAGCTTGTCTCCGTGGAACCCTCACATTATATAAAATGTTTAATTATATTGTGATCATCTAAAAGAAAATTTATCCGGACAGTGTTGTCACATTAGCGCTGCATTTCCACCTCAGACACGTGCACTGTAATGACATCATTTCCGCCCCAGCCCGTACCCTCCTCCAGCATGGAGTTCACTTTCTGACTCCGCCTCTTCTATTAGTCCCCCTTGGATGACGCGAATTGTTCGCGACTCTCAATACAGAGACGTCTGCAGCGGTAATATGGCGGAAATATCTGAAGGTAAGAACATGGACTGTGTTGGCGAACAGCAGATGTTCTGTGTGTTTTATATCGCATCGGTTTCTCTAACCAGCTAACGAGTTGCCGAATAGAACGTGGGATTAGGCCGGAGCTGGTTTCAGAGCGCTGTGTTAGGGGCTTAGTCCTCGCTCGGGTTTCTGCAGGCGGTGCTCGGTGTTTCGGGCTCGCTCATCCCGCCTGCATTGTGGGACAATCGTACTGGTTTGTTGTTTTCTATGGAGGAGGTCTCCAGGCTGCAGCTTCTGCTCACACATAGTGCACACCATTCATTTCCACGGCTGTTAGTGAGACTGCAGAGTGGGCGGTCCTGGAGGAAAGCAGCTTTGTGGGATTTGTATTTCGGGTTGTATTGTGTGTAGATCCTCTATTTGTTTCCCTGGCAATGTATGCTGCATATTACAAATATAAGGTCATTGCTAAAACTGAGGCAGCCCATGGATGATGTTGTTTTCTCTCTTTCCACCAGGGGTTGCGGGACTGAAAATTGCCTGATTTCCCCATATATTGATGAGGGAATCCCCCCCACAGTGCTTGTGTTTGGGGGAGCCTTCCCTGCCGGCACAACACAATGATTAGAGCTGCAGACTATAGCCAGCCTCACTAACTGTTCAGGGAAAACCCACCACGCTGGTTGTACAGACAAAGGCGGGGAGCTGCTGCTTAGGCTGAAAAAAATGCTAATTTCTTGCTGTTTAGGTGTTTTCGATTTAAAGCGGAGTTGTAGCTGAAAAAAAAAAGTCAGTAGCTACAAAAACTGTAGCTGCTGACTTTTAAAATATAGCCACTTACCTGTCCCTCGGTCCAGTGGTGTCCTCATCATGGCTGGTTTCACGGGCTGTCTTCTCTCCCTGGCGCCAGAATCTTCAGTGTGGGCCCCCGGCTGTGACAGCTTGCGGCTTTACAGCCGGGTGCCCACTGCGCATGCACAAAAAGCTCTGCGCTTTGTGAATGGCCCTGTAGTCTTCTGGGACCTGTCATGGGAGGACAACTTCCGCTTTCAATCGCCTTATGCGATCGCAGCGGAGTGGGTGTCTGTTAAATTCAGGTACCCGCTCCCCAAAGGTGCCAATCCTTAATGGGGAGTGGGGGACAAAGATGTAAAGTGAAACTTCACCGTTTGGGTGGAGCTCCGCTTTAAGTATGTGGGGACAAACATGTTCAACTATGCCTGAAAAGTAGCAGGCGACAAACGCTCAGATGTGAACAGAGACCATCGAAATTAATTGGATTTTCCTTGTGTCAGCTTGAAACGCGACACTCAGAAATGCTCAAATGTGAACGGGACCTTAACCCCCCCGGCGGTATTCCCGAGTGTAGCTCGGGGTGAAATTTCAGTATCAAAAGCGGTAACCCCAAGCTATACTCGGGCTTACCATGCGGCGTTGCTCAGGGATTTACTGCAGCGCTTAGCTTGTCCTTCGCTCCCGCAATGTGTCCCCTGCAGCGTCCCCGGACATCTCCTCCGGCCACTGCCGGCATCCGGCTTCCGTGTTCTGGTCCCTGGGACGTACGGGAGCCAGAACCGGCAGAAAATTTGAAATTTTTAAAAAATTTCATTTTTTTTAAAACGATTATTACATAGTAAAACATTGCTGTTTCAAAGCATTTCACATACATTTTGTCCCTACTGCTTTGTCCTGTGCCCTGCCTGCATTTTGACTGTTCTTTCTGCCTGGAAACTTAGAAAAGTCCATGGCATCCAAAAAGCGTTCCTTTATGTCAAAAGCGGTTTTAGACCAGCTAGAGAACAGCGATAGTAAATCAGAACCACTTACAGAATTGAGTGATGATTTGTGGGGAAATTCGTCATCAGACACTGAAAACAATTTTGTGTCTTTGCTCAGCGATGTGCGAACTTGGCGCTATATTTCAAATTTCAGTGTTTTTGGTTTGATTATATTATTGAATTAAATTTATTATTATTTTTTTATGATTATTTAATAAATTATAATTTATGATTTTGTGTTTCAAGTTTTATATCCGGAATGTTTACTAGACTCTTGTTCAGACAGATTTCAGTGAGTTATTCCTAAAAATGACAGGCCTACAATAAAAAAAACTACATATTTTCATGCAAATAATGGTACCGCTTTCAGGACCAAAAATCTGAAATAATCATACTGCCAGGGAGGTTAAAGTGATTGTGAAGCTTTGTATTTTTTTTTTAATTTAAAATTATAAACATGCCATACTTGCTCTGAAATGGTTTTGCACAGAACAGCCCCAATACTTCTCTTCTTGGGTCCCCGGCCGCCACCCATACGGCTCCCTTCTAAGACCCACTGCCTGCGTCCATGGGTACTGACAGTGGAGAACAACCCCGCCTCTTGATCCCTTGTTAGAGTTGATTGACAGCAGCAGGAGCAAATGTCTCCTGCTGTTACCGATCTGTCCTTTTGAGAAAAGACAGAGCCTGGAGAGTAGCAGCTCTCATGCACAGCTCTGGATCACAGTGGGGCTCAGGTAAGTATAAGGGGGGACGATCCAAGACATTGAAGGTTTTTTCCATAATGCATTAAGGTAAAAACCTTAAGGCTTTACAACCACTTTGAAGGATAAGTTCACCTTTCATAACATGTTACACCCATATTCAAGGTGTAACATGTGATCTGTTATAAACTGGACTGATTACCTCTCCTCCCGCTGTCAAAATGTTTTTTAAAAAACGCCCGTGCAAGCTTTGCCTGCCCAGCTGCGTCACTCATTCACCGTCCTCTGTGAATGAGAAACTACAAGTCCAGGCAGCCTTAGCGGCTGTCAGCTTGTAGTTCTCAATGAACTAACACGGTACTGTGGTAGTTTATTAATTCTTCCTGTGGGTATATCTGCTTGCCCATACATCCTGTATGGCCAAGCATATATACTGATATGTCTGCATGGCACATGCGATCTGCTGATCGCTGATGCAGTGCTTTACCGGCTACCAAAACACAAAAAAATAATAAATGCACTTTTTTTTTTTTTACCTGCAAAAAAAAAAATTAGCATTTATTATTTTTTGTCAAAAGGTGAGCATATCCTTTAAAGTGTTACTAAACCCACAACAGTAAAATCAGTCTGTATATGCAGTAAAGCCTGCTTGTTATACTCACTGTGGAACCTAAGGGGTTATTCCTCTGCATTGTGTAAAAAGGATGTTTGTTCCTGATTACTCTGTCCCTTCCATTGTTCAAGTGACAACCTCTTATCTCCTGATAAGACAGACTGAACCTTAGGCATTTTACACATGCTCAGTTTGGTGTGTATTGCTAGGGGTATTTTTTTTTTTTTGGGGGGGGGGTGCATGTGAACAGCACAGGGCCAGTCAGCACTGTCCAGACAGAGGTCAGGGGTTTTGCATCCTCCTAGATCAGAAAGAAAACTCCTCCTACAAGCTTTAGCTAGTGCTTGGCTGGGCACAGAAGCCACAAGACTGCTCTAACTGCTGATGAGAAAAGGTATTTAGCAGTTTATATTTACTAAAATAATTGCACTTCCATGTTCTGTGTACTGTGGGAGACCAGATATAGTGAATGCAGGTTCCTGGGTTTAGTAACACTTTAAGGTCTAAGGCTAGGTTCACACTTTCTGACTGTGCATGCCACCTTTTCACAGACACAGTAGTCCATTTATTTGAATTGAATGCAAATAGAAAAAACACAGCGCCCAGGACCCACTCACTAACACCCTCTTTAAGTGAAATGCCACTGTGCACAGGTATAAAAACCCCAAAAAATTTTTTTCAAATATAAAAACCAGCACAAAACAAACTATCTCACACCAATCAGTATAAGTGAACAATGAGCAGCATATTTTGCCTGCTGGTTGGGGAACACGTGATTAGTACATGTTCCCTGACCACACATATGTGTGAACCTAGCCTAAGGCTGCTTGCACTCAGGCGTAAAGAAGACATGCTTTTTACTGATCGAACACAAAGACATTCTCAACGGAACAATGTTTACAGCTGCGTAAAGATCAGTAATACAACGATGTGGTGAGCCATAAACCAAAATTGAAAACTTTACATTTGAGTGCAGCAATGTCTTTCAATGAAGCAGCTGGCAGCCGCTTCTCCTCCTCCTCCCTCCTACGGCTTCCAGCTGCTTCATTGAAAGACATACAGGAGATCGCAACTTGTTGCCTTCCCCACCGCCATCCCTCCCACACACCCCTAATCCCGGCGCTGCTCGCCCCCACCTTATTTCCACTCGCTTAATGTGAGCTTGCAAGTGGAATTTTCAAGAGCTGCTTTATGGAATACTCAGACTCTTTCTGACAAGATTCTAGGTGGAGACATCAGTAAATTATTGAAGTTTCTGTCACATGAGCGGACGCATGCATTGCGTTAAGGAAAGTCTATTAATTTCAAATGGCTGACCTACATGCAAAAGAGGTGCTTGACCCTTTTTTAAAAATCACATCACAAAACAAATGGTAGTTACTTTGCATTTTGGCACTCATAAGCCATTAGCAATTATTGGCAACACCACATATCTGCAAAAAGGCTGAGCAAATTTCTGCATTGCAAGAACGTGCAATATATCATGCACTTTACCACAGTGCACAAGTGTGAACGTAGCCTAATGTATTACGGACAGTATTTTACTCTTTTTATATTGGGATGATGCAAAGCAGAATCAAAGCTGTGCTCAGGAATTTAGTCACATTGTAAAATGCTCTGGTTTGCTATGGGTTACGTCCAGTGAGGTGCATGTCACCTTATGGAGTTATCTCTTTGATTCACAATTTACATTTTTACTGAGAGCGGGGAGCAAAGCTATCACTATACCCTTGACATTATGTGAACTCATTCATGAAATACAAAGTCTTCTTGGAATTGTCAGCAGTGAGGAAGGGTGGGCATAGATCAGGGGTGGGCAAACTTTTTGACTTGAGGGCCGCAATGGGTTCATATATTGGACCCGGGGGCCGGACCAAGAGTAGATGAATGATGTGTATGTGTCATCCATAGTAAGTATAGTAATATTCCCCCATAGTAAGCATAGTAATTCATACCCCATATAGTAATTCATCCCCCCTATAGTAATTCATCCCCCCTATAGTAATTCATCCCCCATATAGTAATCCATCCCCCATATAGTAATCCATCCCCCATATAGTAATCCATCCCCCATATAGTAATCCATAATTAGTAATTCATCCCCCATATTAAGTCCCCAAGTCCCCCCTGTGTCAATTCACTTACCTTTGCTCCACGCGTTCCTCTCGCCGTGTTCCCGCGCCGTTCCGGTGTAGCATGAAAATCTGTCTCCTATGAGGATCTGTCCCCCTCGACGTATCTGCGCATGTGCCAGTTTCAGGCATTAGCAGCCGATCGGCGATCTCCGGCACATGCGCAGATATGTCGAGGGGGACAGATCCTCATAGGAGACAGATTTTCATGCTACATCGGTCTTCAGGACGGACTGTGAGAGGAGCCTAGTGGGAGCCTAGCTCCGCGGGCCGGATTAAAAGGTCCGCCGGGCCGTATACGGCCCGCGGGCTGTAGTTTGCCCATTGCTGGCATAGATGCTGTGTGTGAGAAAGCAGCATTTCTCCTGTTGGAGTGGCAGGGGATAGCAATAGCTATACTCCCAGTCATCAGTAAAACTGTCAGATGTAAATTAAGGAGATAAGTTTATGAAGTAGTATGCATCTCTTTGGACTTAACCCATAGTAAGCCAGCATATGTTAAAAATTGGCTGAACTCCTGGAAATTAGCTAGTAATAAAATTTTGTCAGCTTTTCTAACCCCTTTCCACTTGACTAAAAACATTTTTTCCTTTATTTGTGACCCCAGTGGAAAGATTTTCCATAACTTCCTGTCCATTAACAGCACCCGGAAGTTCATGGCTGTTGCTGTATGGAGCATGAACTAATTGCACAGAGCGGTTCCTATTCTCCTCTTCTGGGGTCCCTGCCAGCTCTCCTGCCCACCCCCCCCCCCCCCTTCTCTATACAGCTGCTTCCCATTGTGGAGCATGTGCCAGCTCTATCCTAAGCTGCCCTTCCTGTGTCCATAGGCACAGACAGCATGCCTTGGCCCCGACCCCTGTTCCATTATCACAGGATTTGACTAAGCCAGGAGAGGGACACTACACTCGGGCACAGCTCCGGATCAAGTCGGTTGAGGGGTCAATGCTGCTGCTGGAACATTTTACCTTAATGCACAGAATGCATTAAACAAAAGAATGTTTAAGCCTTGTACACATGATGAGAATATTGGACGAATAGTTGTCCTTTTTTGCGTGCTGCAAAATGAAGAAGTTACTAAAGTTGCGAAAATTCTTGTAAGACAGAATAAAACGTCCCATGATGATGTAATGTATTGTATTGTATTCTTTTGTTTTCAAGCATACATGGTCTGTCTCGAATACTGTACCGATTAAACCAAAATCATTCGCTCTGTTATCATGCGAGAAAAACTTTTGTGCTTGCCCCTTCAGATATTGTCATATGTGAAAATGTAAAGTGTAGCGCTAAATATATAATAATGAAACTGAAGTACATCTAAATAAATAAATGTCCGTGATATCAAAAAACAATAGTTCATCCACCACCATAAAGTGCTCTTGCTTGTAGCAAAACAACTCCAATCAAAATTGCCGTCACTGTCTCCCAGTGAATTGAAAACTCACCAGAAATGATGGCTGCCACTACAACAGCATAAACTCCCATATGTTTAAGCAAAAGCGCATGTATTTTGACATGAGACTCTGTAAATAGGTGTCATTCTCTCTGGCCGGGCTGTAGTAAATTAAAGCTCGCCAGGAGCACTTAAACTTCCAATAGTGCAGTATTTATTAAAACCCAAGAGAATAAAAATACATATAGCAAAGAGATGTCATCTTACATAGGCAGCCGTTGCCGATCCAGAATCACGCAGTGGTGTGACGTCAGCACTGTAAACTCCTCTCTGACGTGGTTCGTCCAATAGGACATTATCAAGGGCTTGAAAATGTCCTATTAGATGAAATGAGTCTGGAAGGATTCCAGGTCAGCAGCGGCTGTTTATGTAAGACAGTGACAGCAATTTTGATTGGAGTTGTTTTGCTACTATTTTTTTTAAACAATTTTTGTTTGCACTATTCTTTTTGATATCAGAGATATTTATTTTGATGCACTTCAGTTTCATTATTATATGTTTAGCGCTACAGTTTCCGTTTTCAGTTATTTAGGTTTATATACTACCTATTGGTATTAGCTGCTTTGCACTTTCAGTCAGCGCTGATATTGTTTATTATATTTTATCTGATAGATATTGTTGTATAAACAGTTGTGATTGGCTCTCGAACGCTGTGTACTATCAGATTATCGGACGATCACTCTGAAAGCAATTTTTGTCATCCGATTTTCTGATCGTGTGTACTAGGCATTAGGCTTTGGAACCACTTTAATTTTGACCTTGCAGCAGATCCGCCTGTTAGCGTATGGTTGCATCAACTAATTGTGTATTATCTGTTTTTGCAGGTAGCAGAGATGACCTTATGGAGCACACAGCTGTACAGGTACCTTCACAAAAAAAAGTTTCATTGTTATAAACAAATACTTAACTGAAGGGCAATGTATTAAAGTGGAACTATGGGCAAAATAGGCAATTGAAGATTATGTAAACCCAACATTTCATATTTCTGATATGTGCCTGCTGTACCATGTATATGTATGAAAAAGTGTTCTGTTCTCTTTGTACTGCTTCCTCTGGTGTAAAATTACTGTTATTCCTGTGGTCAGTTCTCTAGCAGTTCAGGGAACTCAGCCTGCCCTGCTCCAATGATCAGACTTCTGCTGATACAACCCCTCCCCAGCCATTTGCTGCAAAGACTAGTGTCCTGCTATTCCTTCTTCCCCAGCTCTCCCCCTTAAAGTGGAACTGCACTGCATCGTTTATTAAAGAAAAAGTGTTTACAATAGTGTTTTGTGTGTGTGTCTGTGTATATATATGTGTGTGTGTGTGTGTGTGTGTGTGTGTGTGTGTGTGTATATATATATATATATATATATATATATATATATATATATATGTATATATATATATATATATATATATATATATATATATATATATATATATATATATATACACACACACACAGTGGATATAAAAAGTCTACACACCCCTGTTAAAATGTCAGGTTTTTGTGATGTAAAATAAATGAGACAAAGGTAAATAATTCCAGAATTTTTTCCACCTTTTAATGTAACCCATAAACTGTACAACTCAGTTGAACAACAAACTGAAATCTTTTAGGTGGAGGGAAGAAAAAAAAAAAACTAAAATAATATGGTTGCATGAGTGTGCACACCCTTAAACTAATACTTTGTTAAAACATCAGCATGGCACATCATGACTTGGCAATATTTGTCCACTCTTCCTTGCAAAAACAGTCTGATTGCGAGGGCATCTCCTGTGCACAGTCCTCTTCAGATCACCCCACAGATTTTCGATTGGATTCAGGTCTGCACTCTGGCATGGCTATTCCAAATTATAATCCGCTTCTGGTGAAGCCATTCCTTTGTTGATTTGGATGTATGCTTTGGGTTGTTATCATGCTGAAAGATGACATTCTCTCTTCATGTTCAGCATTTGAGCAGAAGCTTGAAGGTTTTGTGCCAATAGTCACTGGTATTTAGAACTGTTCATAATTCCCTCTACCTTGACTAAGGCCCCAGTTCCAGCTGAAAATAAACAGCCCCAAAGCATGATGCTGCCACCACCATGCTTCACTGTGGGTATGGTGTTCTTTTGGTGATGTGCAGTGTTGTTTTTGCACCAAACATATATTTTGAAATTATGGCCAAAAAGTTCAACCTTGGTTTCATCAGCAGGGGTGTGGAAATTTTTTAGAAAACTACTTCTCCAAGGGACTAAATCATGTTCCCAATCTACTTGTCCCTCATGACAATCTACTTGTCCTGATAAAAATAAAAATAATTTTAACACCTCCCTGTCTCCAGCACCACAACCGGGGATTAGCAGGGAGGGGAGAGACCTTGCAATGTGACGAGCATCAATTGGGTGCATTTCTGGCAAGGGGAGTGTCTGGCTCTCAACGCTCAGCAAATAAATGAGGCACGAGCCCCAATGGGGGGAAAAAAAAACAAACTTTCAGGTTACCCTCGCAGACACAAGCACTTGGGTGCTCAATAGAAGCTCATGCTGAGCAGCCAAATCAAGCTCTGGTGTAGTATTAAGATGTGTATCCCGTGAAGATCTGTATCTCCTGCATTAACTGCGTATGTGCCGGAGCCAGGGAAAACCAGTTGAACGCCAAGCTAAAGCCAAAGCGGTACCTGCATTTACTTAACTTCTTACAAGCTGGACTACAAAACAGGCATGGGGTGCTACAGCTGCTGTGAAATCCTGTATCCCTGGGGATTGGCACTTTTCATAATGATGATTTGTACCTGTTGCTGTCAGTGTGCTTGAGCTACTGAATCCTGACCATTAAAGTGCTTGTGTTATAAGTTCAGCATGTAAGGCATTAAGTGACTTAGCTCAGTGCTTGACTTATTGTCCCTGATTCCAGCGCATGCGCAGTTGCTGCAGGGGATACAGAGCTTCAGGTTACAACAGATATACTTGTGCCACCTTATTTCCATATCATCAGAATTTTCTTTTGCCCCTTTGCCCTTTTATATGTAATTAGGGACAACTTCACAGCACCCTGAGCCCCCTGCTGAACGAAGGGGCAGTTATCTTCTATACTGCAGGATCTTCCTCCAGAAATCACCTTTTCCTAAAAGAGCTCCTCCACTGCTTTGTTTGTAATGTTGCTGGAATATTATTCCTGTCTCTGTTTTTCACTCATAGTACATGGACATATGTCACTGGCACGTGCAGGGGATGCCTTGATTCCCCTCCCTGGGTCCTCCAGATATCCCAGCTCCCACTAGAAGAATGCAGCAGCAGATACTCCACACTGACTTCCAGCTCTCACAGCTCCTCTCATGCTTTTCTGCAGTGTTCCCATTGAAGTCTATAGAACCAAAAACACAACGTTTTGCGTTTTAAAAAAAAGTCCCTGACCCTTTCAAAAAAACGCACCAAGTAAAAACACGGAGATGTGAACCTGTCCCATAGTAATTAATGTGAAATGGATTATACTGCTTTTCTGCAAAACCCAAAACGCAGTAGTAATGCTTAGGTGTGTACCTAGGGTAAAATATAGGCAAAAGTTGTTTAGTTTTGTACGGAGCAGAGAGTGATTAGAACCTCTGTCAGATTTTTATTGCCATCTGTGTCCCCATTAGGGTGATTTCCCTAATTGTCCTGTTTATCAATATCGCCAAGAGTGAAAGTAAATCCCAAACTTTGGGTTGTCACCAGAACAAGAATAGAGGGGAAACTGGGCCTGGTGATCACTAGGGATTTCATCTCTTTGGGGGGATTTCCTCCCACTTTCTGTTTTGGCTATGGGACAGGAAATTAAGGGAAATCTCCCCAATTGCAGTTCTGGAAGGTGCCCTAAGCTGTGGTTAGCAGAGAACACATCCCAGCCAGCTTGCTCTGTGTGGACAGATGGGATTGAGACCAGATCCATCCCTCCCTCAAGCTTTCATGGTCTCTCCTGATCTGTGCATGCTAGACTGTCAGTGATCCTGGGGGGGGACCACAGTTTTTGAAATACTCAGACCAGCTGGCAACAAGAACCATGCCATGTTCAAAGTCACTTAAATCCCCTTTCTTCCCCATTCTGAAGCTCAGTTTGAACTTCAGCAACTCATCTTCACCATGTCTAGATGCTTAAATGCATTGAGTTGCTGCCAAGTGATTGGCTGATTAGCAATTTTTGTTACCAAGCAATTAAACTGGTGTACCAAATAAATAAGCACACACAAGTTTTGCCTTTCGTTTCTATTTTAAACTGAATGGGGTGTTTTACGAGGTGAGGGTTACAAATACTTTAAATGTATGTTAGTCTTTTCAACCTCCTTTTTTTTTTTTTTCCTCTCTATTCCTGCTTTTATTGCCTTTGAGAGGGTAACCGCACAGGTTATCCTGCACTTAAATTGCTCAGCATGAATGTCCCCTTGTGGACAGAGTAACTTAGGTGAACATGTAATTTTAAATGCATTCTAAAGAGGTTTTGTCAGGTTTAAATGGTTTAAATTCAGCAATCCCCTGCAGAAGACCACATAGAGCACCCCTCCTTGATATCCTCCCATATGTATTTTTTCATTTAGGTGTATACATATCTTTCTTCAGAGCTTTTCTGTTAGTCTTTATGTTCATTGTCATCTCTAGCAGTGCTGGTTAGTCCCTACTGTCTTTATCTTTGTCTAGATCAGGGGTTTCCAAATTTTCTAAACGAAGGGCCTGTTCCCTGTCCTTCAGACTTTAGGGGGGCCAGACTGTGGCCATTAGGAGAAGAAAATTACCTGGCATCAGTGGGAGTAAACAATGCCTCATTATGGGTACTAACAGTAGATATAATGCCCCATCACTGGTATCAATGGGAGGAAAAGTTTCACATTGTTGGCTTCAGTGGGAGGAATAGTGCCCGATAATTGCTGTCAGTAGGAGAAATAGTGACCTATCATTGGTTTCAGTAGGAGGAATAATACTCCATTATTTGAAATAGTGCCCATCATTAGTGTCAGTGGGCAGAACAGTGCCTTATTACTGTCAGTAAGAGGAATAGTGCCCCATCATTGGTGTCAGTGGAAGGAATAGTGCCCCATTGTTGGTGTCAGTCCCGGAAACTATGCCCCACTGTTGCTGATGGTGGAGGGAATAGTGCCCCAGGGGCAAGGTAAATGCAAGCAAAGGGCCACATCTGGCCTCGGGGCCACAGTTTGGTGACCACTGGTCTAGATTTAGTGAATTATACAATCGGATTTCAAAACCTAGGGGTCTGTTTATAAAGCATTTGTTAGTTGAATGTCAGAAGCATTCATGCAACCTGGATGAAATTTCCTGGTATTTTTTGTAACTGTTTTTAAATTCACATATAGGCAGCTGCATTTACTGGCCAAGATGCAGTATATTTTGTATGGTATTTCAGAAAACTATACCACATTCTGGCCACTAGATGGAGCTAATGATACTGGAATAAATTTATTATAGAAATTATGGGGATATCTTGCACAAGTGCTTCTGACATTTGCTTAACAAACAGTTTGCTTGATTCTATCCCTCTTGAGGATCTGTGACATGATGGCTAGTACTACCCTTAAAAAAGCATTGGCACTGAGTTCTGTTTTTTCTTGTTGAAGTAATGTCTACTCATCTGTGGCAGAATGGCAGGCAGGAGCCTGGGGTCTTATTTGCACCTTTGATCTAGTAAGCATTAAAGGATAAGTCCACTTTTCATAACTTGTTACACCCATATTCAGGGTGTAAGATGTTATGAAAGTGTCAGCCCCTGCTCCCCCGCTTTGATAGCCAGCGTTGGATTTTCTCTCCCCACTACCTGTCAAAATTTTTAAAAACCGTGGCTATGTGGGGTTTTGCAGGCCGTGTCACTCATTCACAGTCCTCTGTGAATGAGAAATGTAAAGTCCCGAC